GTCTCTTGCTAATTAATCAATGTGCCTATTTGAATTATGTTATCTCAATTAGGTGGTGGAAAGAGCTCGGATTGGCTAAGGAATTGAAGTTTGCCAGAGACCAACCAGTTAAATGGTACATATGGTCCATGGCATGCCTAACAGATCCAAAGTTATCAGAGGAGAGGGTTGAGCTCACAAAACCCATCTCATTCATCTATTTGATTGATGACATTTTTGATGTTTACGGGACGCTTGATGAGCTCATTCTCTTCACAGAGGCTGTCAATAGGTATATATATGCAATAAACATGCCTCAACAACTAAATTTAATTAATTTAACAAGTTTTGCCCATTGACTGATCAATAAAATTGTTGGATGCTTCTGCAGATGGGAAATTGGTGATATAGATCACCTACCAGACTACATGAAAATATGCTTCAAGGCTCTTCACGATATGACGAATGAAATCAGCAGCAAGGTCTATCAGAAGCACGGCTGGAACCCGTTACACTCTCTTAGGAAAACGGTATATATACCAATTGCGTGATGATTGGCTGATTATCAATTACCAGTATAATTAATTAAAGATTAGTTAATTATTCAATTCTATATTTCATGCAGTGGGGGAGTCTGTGCAATGCATTTTTAGTAGAAGCAAAATGGTTTAAGTCTGGGCACTTGCCCAAAGCAGAAGACTACTTAAAGAATGGGATTGTTTCTTCTGGGGTGAATGTGGTGATGGTCCACATTTTCTTTCTCTTGGGTCAAGGCATAACCAAACAAAGCGTGGAGCTGTTGAATGAAACTCCAGCTATCATATCTTCTGCAGCAGCAATTCTGCGGCTCTGGGACGACTTGGGAAGTGCAGAGGCAAGCTTATATTCATATCAAGCACGCTGTAAACATGTTTTGTTCATTTCTCTAGCTGTAAATGTGCTTATGTAACTATATTGATTGTAGGATGAGAATCAAGATGGGCACGACGGCTCATACATACGGTGCTACTTAAACGAACACCAAGGCTGTTCGATTGAGGACGCACAAGAAATTACTATTACTTTGATTTCAGAAGAATGGAAGCGCCTGAACAAAGAATTGGTGTCTCCTAATCTGTTTCCAGCCGCATTCACCAACGCTTCCCTTAATCTTGCAAGAATGGTGCCACTGATGTATAGCTACGATCAAAACCAATGCCTTCCCTCGCTTAAGGAGTATATGAGATCGATGCT